GAAGAGCAAAAGTAAGAAAACTCATGGGTTGAGATAAGAACAGTTTAATAATGGAAATAAAAGAAAAATAAATAATTTTATAATAATAATAAAAATTGTAATGTAAAGGAAACCAACAAGAGTGAGAAAGAGAGGAACAAAACCCAAGAAAATAAGTGATGCAACAGCTCATCACCTGCCAACCGATTCCCAGCCAGTTCCCGAGCAGCAGTCACTGCCCCCCCCAGTTTATATACTGAGCATGACATCATATGGTATGGAATATCACCTTGGCCAGTTTGGGCCAGTGTCCTGGCTGTGCCCCCTCCCAGCTTCTTGTGCACCTTGCAGAGCATGGGAAGCTGAAAAGTCCTTGACTCTGTGTCAGCACTGCTCAGCAGTAACAAAAACATTCCTGTATTATCAACACTGTTTTCAGCATAAATCCAAAGCACAGCTCCATACAAGCTTGTATGGAAAAAATTAACTCTACCCCAGTCAAAACCAGCACAGACCCAGTTATTTCCTTTGGTCATAGATGACAAATTAATTCAGTTGTCAGTGAACCAACAGGATGTCAGGCTATTTTAGATTTGGTTTTGGTAACCAAGGAGAACAGTACAGGAGAGCCAATTATAAAAATAATACTGGGATGCATGATTAAATTCAGTGAAAGGATAAGCAAGCACAGGTATGACTAAGATTTAGGACCTTAAAAAGGCAAAGTCTGCTAAGAAAGCCAGTCAAGGGAGTGAAACGTACTTATAAGCATGGAGGTCTGAATGTAGAGAAGGCTTTTACTTAAAGATGTGAACGTGATTAGACATTGGATCCTACAAAGATAAAAACCTTGCAGAGGAAGTCTCCAGAATGGTGGCTAGAATAGCAGTCTTAAAAAAGACAAAGGGGAACGGTCTTTCTTGACAGTCTAGTCAAGAAAAAATTTCATCATAGAGGCCAAGAACTGTAAGTATAAACTGCTAGAAGTTATGCTTGTAAAGAATATTAAGCAAAACACAGAGGTAAGACGACGTAAAAAGAAGATGGGGATTTTCTTCAGTGAAGACAAAGTAGAGACTAAAGACAAGCCCAGTAAAGCCAAAACCAATACCTTGCCCTCAGTTTACTGAAGTCCTATGTTCTTAACACTTGTTTATATTAAGTTGTTTTCACAACAGAATTATTATGTATCTGTAAGAACTTGAACACACTCCCTTAAATTTCCAATTTCAAGCAAGAGTTGTTTACACATTTCACTAGAGCTAAAGAAAGGCTGAGACGGCTGAGCAAAAACCACAATAATCATCAGATACAGCGTAATGTTAATTCAACAGGAATAAGACTGGTAATCAATTTTTCTTTAACACTAAAGTAGCTGTAAATCCACTATTTGCAGCGCATGGGAGGATACACTGACTTCAGTAGAGGTACTATATAGCTAAAAGAGAAACTACATTCTTTCTCACCTGAATTTGCAGGCACTTGTAACTTTACAAGAAAAAAAGAAGTCTTTGTTTTAGTATTATTTCTATCTATCCTATGCTCAAAGGTGGCATCTCATTAAGGTTTAATAAAGTTTAGTTTAGATGGTTTTGTATTATTCAAGTACTTTATGACATATCACAACCCAGATTTTGTCCCTGTATGAACGAACATGGGCTGTCCAATTGAGGGGATTGGCTTCACTTACAATGTCTTTTCCTCATTTTCCTAACTATGAAGAAAGAGAAGGAGAAATAGTGGACTTCCAATAGTTAGGAAATAACAATAGTTACTCTTGCTAAAAGTTCACTCATTTTTCTTTACCACTTACCCACTCTCTTTTTCCTTAAAATAACACAGAAATGTAATACCAAAAGTGACATTACCAAGAAGTTACTTCATAACAACTTCCAATATAAGAGTCAGGAAAACCTGCTTCCTTGTGTTTAAGCTATAACCAAGTCTCTCACACATGCAAGTACACAAGTACAGCCTAGCATCAGGCTCATAAAATGTCAACATTCAAGTAAGTTTCTGCTATAGTCACACACACAGTTACAACAAAAGATCGGTTAACATAGTTTTCTCAGTACAAACTAAGCAAGAATAATACATTTTCACAGGCAGTTACAATTATGAAATACTGCCTACAAATGTCAAAGTGGTATAAAATCATCTTACTTTGGCAAAAGGGGGACAAATTGCGATTGAGTAGTATCACATGAAGACTGCTATTTCAATAGGCTACAGATTGTTTCATTTCGCTGCTCTCACGAATGGAGCCTCATCCCCACAAGCGTGTCAGAGCTCCTGACTGATCCTGGCAGAGGGTGCAAAGCTCCTGTCCTCACAGCTCACACCATATTAACTGCCATCCTGAAAAATGCACCCGTCCACTCTGTGAATAGCCCCGCTGGCTCCTGAAGGACAGACTGCTTTGCATGGACCACTTGCCTCCTACACAAAAGTTACCCACACTTCTACTGACAAATTAACAGTGCTACATGTTTCTTGATAGGTGGATAGACCAGTTGCTTATAAAAGTT